CAGCAGGAAGAGAAGAATGTTCCAGATGCGGCCACGGTAGAAAAGCTGTATGACCGTAGCGATAAGGAAGAAGGGGAAGAAACCTGTGACCACTGATTCGTAGGTCATCCAGAGGTGGTGCTTGTGGAACCACAGAGAGTTGTAGAGCCACTCACGGAAGTAAGACTTGCTCCAGCGGGTCTGCTGGTTAAGCCACCGGAGGTACTTGGTGGGGGTCTCTGTGAGGCATTTAGAGCGAGCTGTATACTTAGTCCTGTAGCCGAGACTCAGGACTCGGTTGGTGAGGTGCCGGTCATCCCCAAAGCTGCACTTGCTGCCTAGGAACTTCTGATGGTACCAGTCCTCCAAGAATTGCTGAAGGAGGCTGTTACGGTACATACCCAAGGGCCCGCTAATGCACTGCACACAGCCAAAGTAGGACTGGCAAGCCCGCTCCACGTTGAAGGCCATCCAGTACCGCACACTGCTCAGGAAGGAGATCCATGAATCGTATTTGTTGAGGATCTGCAAGGGAACCAGAGATGCTAGGCCTCCTTGCCTGAGGACGTGAGCCCCAGGAGACAGACACGAGAGGCCACGAGGCCTCCCTACACCCCAAGTGCTGGAGCCCATTGCTCCAGTTCCTGGCTGTGAGTCCTCGCCCAGCCAGAGCTGGGAAACCAGAGGCTCAGAGGAGGCGACCACACCCAGTCACTCTCCCCAGCACCAGCCCCACCTCTCCTCCGTGTCATCTGCACCGACTGTCCCAGTGAAGTTGCTCGAGCAGTCAAAGCCACCTTCAGTCTCAGGAGGCAGCCTGTGGTGGTGGCCAAGAGAAAGGCTTGAGAAAGAAGCACACACCCCAGCCACCCAGCCTGACCCTTTCTGCAGTTGGAAAGCTTCTTGGGAAGACATGGTATGTTGCCAGCAGTACCCTTGGAAGAAGATCTGACCCTTTATTTGTACCATACTGCGCGGAGCTCTTCAGTGCAACGTCCTTAAGAGCAAGGGTTTCTCAGGGGTCTAACTTCAGAGTTGCTTGGTGCACCATTGGGCAAAAAGGAAGCCCCCTCCCGGATGGATGGCCTCAGAACATTGTGCCCCTCCCAGCAGCATAGACTATATACCTGTTAAGTGATTTCTCCCCACTTAAAAGAACAGGAAAGGGGTTGGGTAGCAGATGAGCCCTTTGATACCATTGAAAACTGTCAAAGAGGAAACACCCCTCCAAAACACTAGGAAGTCAAGATGCCCATTCCTAAGCATATCCAATTAGATTAAGAAGCAGAAAGAATCCAGACCCCCCCCTCCCCCAGGAATCCTTGGTTACTTCTTACTTGGACATCTCCCCCGACTCCTCCTACTTGGGGGTCCTCCTCCAGGACTCGAAGCATTTCAATTGTGCAGGCTGGATCCAGCACAGTGTCAGAGTCACACACCTGCAGAGGGAATGCACATTTTGACCTCAGGTACGTGTACACACACACACACACACACACACACACACACACACACACACACACACACCCCTCTCACA